ACCGCGATCCGAACAGAGTGGAAACACGAGAGAAAAAAAAGAAGAAGGAGCGAGAAGAGAGAGAGAGAGAGAGAGAGGAGGCGAGATCGCGAGCGGTGCCAGCACGAACCTTTCAAGAGTCTACCCGCGCGAGAAGGGATCCCCCGAGGGCGGCGCCACGTTTGCGCCGTACAAAAAGTCCAGGAGGGGAATAAAGAGAAGGGAAAAAAAGGAGCTCGCCGAGAGCGGCTAACATGGAATAGCCCTTAGCCGGCCACGATAGCCACTCTTTAGGCTGATGGACTCACGACCCTCTCGATTTCTCTATCTCTCTCTCTCCCTTTCTCGCTCCGGCAACGATCGCGGCGGTCTCTCTCGTTCCCCTTCGCAGTCTGACCACTCGCTCCGAACACGCTTCCTTTTGCTCCTCTCTCCGGCCGATCACCGCGCGTTTCGCCGGAATCGTTCCCGGTCTCCCGGTATCCTTCTTTCCTCGCGCGGCCGTCCAGAATCCGCCTTTTCAAGGTTTTTCGCTTTCCGTCCTCGACGCACGGGTGGAATGCTCGCCGCGGGGAAAGAAATCCGCGCCGCGACCGTGTGTACCGACCAAACGAACTCGTGTTTACGTGCCCGTTGGAAGGGCGATTACGAGCACCGGGGGCTCGTCCTGGTGAGCTCTCGACTTTATTGCCAGCTACGGCTCACCCGGACTCGGAACCGCCCTTCCACCGGGGGAGCAGCCCTCAACCCTTTCAGCAATCCCTCGCTGCAATGGAGTTATCAGCACCTCAGAAATAAATCATGGTATTTCAGTCGTGGTATGTTTTAATGGATGCAATAAAATTGTTCGTTCAGAGAATTGTGTTTGTAACTTACTTGCACCTTGCATGATCAATCAACAGAGTTTGCACCAGGGTGTAGTACTCCCTCACTGCAACAGAATTATCACTGTTTCAGAAGTAAATCAAAGGATCTACGTCGAGGTATATTTCATGTATCTAGTGTATGCAATAGGAATTGGGTTTGTAACTTACTTGCACCTTGAACAGAGTTCACACTAGGGTACCAACACTCCCTCACTGCAACACAATTACCAGTATTTCAGGAATAAATCATAGGATTTAAGTTGAGGTATGTTTTAGAGTTTGCACTAGGGTACAGTGGTTTGCCTCCAATGACCACTGCAGTTAGGAGTATTCAATACTCATAGGGTTAACTAGAGAGCAATATTTCTTACCAACTCTATCATTTCTTTAAGGCTAACTATCTTCTATGCTTGGCAGTTTAGCTCAGAGAGTAGCCCTCAACTAGAGAGCAATGTTTCTTACCAACTTTATCAATTCTCTAAGGCTAACTGTCTTCTATGTTTGCAGTTTAGCTCAAGAGAGTAGTCCTTAACTACAGAGCAATGTTTCTTACCAACTCTATCAATTCTCTAAGGCTAACTGTTTTCTATGTTTGCAGTTTAGCTCAAGAGAGTAGTCCTCAACTAGAGAGCAATGTTTCTTACCAACTCTATCAATTCTCTAAGGCTAACTGTCTTCTATGTTTGCAGTTTAGCTTAGGGGTAGTCCTTAATCAGAAGGTAATACTGTTTACCAACTCTCTTACAACAGAAAGTCTCTTCTATGCTTCCAGTTTAGCTTAGAGAGTAGTCCTTAACTGCAGAGCAATGTTTCTTACCAACTCTATCAACTCTCTAAGGCTAACTGTCTTCTATGCTTCCAGTTTAGCTCAGAGAGTAGCCCTCAACTAGAGACCAATGTTTCTTACCAACTCTCTTACAACAGAAAGTCTCTTCTATACTTGCAGTTTAGCCCAGAAGGTAGTCCTCAACTATACAGCAATGTTTCTTACCAACTCTATCGATTCTCTAAGACTAACTATCTTCTATGCTCCTAGTTTAGCTCAGAAAGCAGACCTCAACTAGAGGCCAATGCCTTTTACTAACTCTTCCGTTTTACTAAATCTTGAACATTGAAAAGGCACTCCTCTGCTTCCAGTCTGGAGTTTGTAGAGAGATTGGTCCATTTGGTACAGTTCATAAGCTCCTATGCGATCACTTAATTGATCAATTGGACCTCAATTATGGGGGCTATGCATTTCACAAACTACCAATTCTGTTGCGACGGTAAGCCACTTGGATTCCAGCCTAGAACCAGCAAGAACTTGCGTTAATAGATCTTGCATCATCAGTAACTTAGCTTCGTTTGCTTTTGAGCCCCTCGGAAGGGACGATTAGGGTTCGTTAGCCCTGGTATGAGGCGCACGCCCGATCAATCGGCCCTCTACGATAAAACAGTGCGAGTGTCGACTCTCGTGCGACGGAAAGTCGCCTTGCATCCAGCCTAGAACTCGCAGATTGGTCGATATGATACAAGACGTATATGCCTATACGGGAGAGCGCAATTACGTGGGCGGTGAAGTCCTCGACACGATGCTTTTTTACCACTTCTCGAAAGTCGCTTGTATCTTACAGCTCCCGAGAGTGATCGGTCAATATGATAAACTGCACGGCGAAGAGAGGACTTGGACTGTTCGTGCGACGGGGGAAAGAGTCTGACAATGGAACCCTCGCGCATCTTTTAGCCTTTCGTTTTATTGAGTTGCAAAGAAACGCGTACAAAATATGTTCGATCGTAGATGCGTTCGATTTTGTCGCGGAACGTACACGTTCCCCGCGATAGGTAGGAATAAATATTGTCGCGATCCTCGGTTCGCTCGCATTTAAACTATTCTTTGGAGGAACACCCTGGTACGGTGATTCGTATCGCGGGAACGTCACCAGATCTCGATCGGTGACGGATTTGGTGATTTTCCCTCTGGCTAGTTACGAATCACCGTCCCGCGTGGACTCGATTCGCTACACCACCCGGTTGCACGCGCGTACTCGCTCGTCTGACGCGTACACGCGCGCACCGTACGTATATATGTATATTTATATATGTATGTGTTAAGGGGAGGCAGGTTCGAACGACAGGACGCGTGTTCCGTAGGATGCGCGCGAGCAAAAACGAAAGTATCCTTCGCGTTCGAACCGTGAGAGAAAGCAACGACGATCGCGGAGGCGGGACACGGCCAACGAACGACGACCAGGTAACGCTGGGATACCGTGTTTCACCTCCGTTCATCCAGAGGGCGATGCCCTCCAACGGAATCCCCACTTGACCGTCGATACGACCGAGCGCGATCGGTAAAACAGAACTCGCGCGTACCACGCGAGCCCGCGACCAGTATCGAACCGTTTCGATAAGTTACGGTCGATACGCCGATTCGAGATCGTCGTTGCTCGCGATTAGAAATAAATAGAAACGATGGGAACGGGGTAGGAACGAAATGTCGCTCGAGCACCGTATCTGCGCGATTTCTTTCAACAGAGATGGGCAAAATTTTCGACTATATTTAAATATTGCCTAGCGTGGGGGAATTATCTTTAAACGTAAATTCAAACGTTTTCTAATTATTAATTAACGCCAGCCCGCCTTTTTTTACATATATTCTTATCCCTATTACTTACTACCATTATATATTTTTTTTTTATAAACTTTCTATTCCGGGCACAGCCCTCCGCCATTTCTGATCCGGCCACGAATCAATGTAGTTTTGATTACTCGAGTACTTCGTACCGTTGGACGAAATATAAATAAAAGTTTTAAATAACAGGTACTAGGTAAACAATTTTTGATTCGCTTGTTTGTTCGATGGAATTTACAATCCGAAAAAATTCTTATTTATTTATAATTAAGAACTGTGCTATTTTTTTTCTCTCTAAATTGTCGTTGGTCTAGAAAGATCGAGAACTTTCGAAACGTTGATAATAAATCGATGTATGTACAGAGTTTTCGTTCGTCGTCTATTGTTTGAGAAAAATTCTGCCCATTTCTGCTTACGAACATCGATTTCTCTCGTTAAATAGGAAACTGTTCGAAGAGTTTCCAAAGCCAGAGCTGAAACTCGGTTGGTAAAAGGTTGCACGATGGCGCTCGCGTCGCCGAACAATGCAAAATACGGCGGCACACTCGATAATGTTTCTTACTACTTTGTTAATATATATATATTCACATGTTTCAAAATCAAATACTATGTACCAAAACGAGGCAAAAGGTCGCTCATCGTTTCGTAATCCGAAGCTTCGTTTTCGAAACATCGGTCCATCCACGAGTCACAACCACTCACTACACCTAACCACTTTGATCCTAAATCTAATCACTCGCGATTTAAACTTTCAACCGTAGCAAAATATTCTTTTACGTCGCGTAATTTTCGCTATAAAAGGTAAACTTTTTCCCACATTTCGGTGAATTGCAACGCTTACACGCCATTCGCGTAGTGTCGTTATATTTCTCTTCGTACGATAATTTTACCAGGCTTGTTAAGAAAACTTTAACGCGAATAAACAGTTGCATCCCTGTTCCACCGTGAAACGAACAATGGTTCCAAATACTTCGAACATGCATTATCGACTGTCTCGAAATTCGAAAGACGCAAGGAAGAAACGGTTGAGAGTCGTGGGGAGTCGGTGTCCGGTCTTCGAGGTTAGGTCAATCGCGAGCAAGATTTATGGCGGGTGGAGGCTCGAATTTCGCGCGGGTCTGTCCTTCTGGTAATTGTCGCAACTAAACTGCACAGCAGACACTAACATAACCCAGACGCTGTCACATGATCTTCGAAAAAGAAAAAAAAAAGTTATAAAACAGATCCACTGGCGGAGCGAATTCTCGGGTATATTTTTGACCTTACTCCGTCGTAAATCATTTACTCGAGAACGATATCTGGTGTCTCGCGTTACCAACCAACCTCCCACGTTTCTCGATTACACGTAATGAAAATGCACCCGAAAACGTAGTAACTTCGAGACAGCGAAATCGAAAAGAACCATCTCGAAAAATTATCCCTCTATCTGATTACCGTTGAATCAAAATCGAAGTTGAAGTCGATTCCATTATTTACCGTGCTACACGTAGATTATGTACATTTTTATTCGGTATAATGGAGACGTTGTTGTTGCTAAAACTCCTCGGTACGCAAACGACAACGAATCGTATAATAAATTCTACAACGACGAATTAAATATACAGGCTGCATGCATGGCGTGCAAGTGTTACGACGTACCGATATGTGAGAAAGAGGTTAATTTCGATTGAGAAGGTAAAAGACTTCTACCATGCCTGAACACTAATATGTGTCGTAAGAAACGTGTTTAGAATCAGTAAAATACAAAAGAGACGCGAAGAGGACTATTAAAATCAGTGTAAAAGTACATTGGACTCGTTGGCTCACCACGCTCGATGGACGCCGGGCGGGATCCAGAAAATGTAAGAATATTTCTGCTACTTAACGATTCTAAACTTCTCTAACGCATCAAATTGCACGGACGCTCGCACGAAACACGATAATTGCACACACATGCTCGTATTTAGGCCGAAATTACTATTAACCCGTCGAAATTGCGATGCCAACGGAACACCGACGCGTACTGCTCCTCGCTCCTCGCTACGTGTGCTGCGCGCGCAACTGTCCGCTGTTCAAACAGAGACGCCCCGCGAATTTCAATCGCTCGTATCTCGAAAACGAAGCCTCGATTCGCGAAACGCCAAGGGGTACTTTCCCGTTAATTCTAAACGCGGTATCGATCCAGAGAAAACATTCGACGTTCGCGCATCCCTCGTTCCCGATTTTCGTCCATGGCATCGCGATCTTCTCCCATTACGTCCTCTCGGCGTGGATCGCTGTCGTAGAAGTTATAACCGAGATCAGGTCGCCGCTGGACTGACTAGCGATTGGCTCTAGTGGTGGCACGCTGGAAAATAATCGATACAGTTGCAATCGATCGATAGACGCTAATAAGAACGAACTTTCGAAAGATATACGCGTTTAGTTCGCCTGGTGCCTGTCTAGGGGCTGATAATTAACCGCGCTCGTTTAACTGCAAGATTTCGGTCGCGTTTCTTTCAGTTATCCGGGTATATGGGCTGTTTTACGATAAAACGCGTGACTTACGTAAGGGTGGTCTGACGGTTGAGGACTGCGGCGGTGGGTAATGCGAGGGGCGAGTGCGCGTGCCCTAATTGCACCGTAGTCGGTGTACCTACAGGACGTCTCTCCTCGGACCCTACGTTCCCTCCCTCGCTCCCGCTTCCGCTTTCGCTCCCGACACCGACCCCGCCCTCGTTACCGCTGCCACCGCTCCCGTACACGTTCAACTGCACCGAGTCCACTGGAACGTGAAAAAAAGGACCGTTCGGCCGATTACGACGCATCCTCCCCCTCTTCTCTCCGCTACGCGTCTTCATCGACAAATTGCTACGTCTTTCCTCTCGTCCTTCGTCTCTTTAACCCTTTGCACTCGACGATCGTTTCCACCAACTTTGAAACTGTCAACTCCCGTACTCGCCGCCAGAGGGCTACGCTCTTGTCTCTCTCGCAAGCGCTCGATCTACTATGCAATATCGCTTTCTCCACTAGCAGAGCGCGTAACAAAGTTAAAATCAGAATTTTAGAGAGCATCATTTTCACTTGAACTTTTCTTTCAAACACTTTCGAGTGGAAAGAGTCGAGCTAGAGACACGCTATTGGCAGCTAGGGAGAACGTTTCAACGAAGGTGTAATTTGAATTAATTTGACCACAACTCTGTCCTCCATAAACAAACGAGCGTTTGTCGAGTTTTTCACGCGTTCATGGCGAAAGGAAAGCGTTCAACCTGTAGGTACACCCACCTCGATCGAACAACGCGACGCGGAGCGAAGCAAAAGTTAAAGACTGAGAAGCAACGACGGAAGACGAAAGAAAGACTGAATGACAAACTTGCTCACCGAAGACTCACCGAGCAAGTTAGACTTAATCTCGGTCTTGTGCATGCCGCTGGGTCCGGTCAGACCGCCGCCCATCCCCGTGTGATTTTTTGGCTTCCTCTTCCTCGTCTGGATCCCCTCTTTCTTCATGCTGAGCGGCCTGTTTACCTGTTTCGAGAAAAGACATTCTGAGACCAGACAGAGACGGAGTTTTAATTAAATTGAACGGAACGAGATAAGAGCCGCGCGTATCGGGGTAAGCGATCGTGATCGCGGACGATAACTCTCTGACCAGTCGATCGTTCCGTAAAAATATTGCGAATCGAACATGTCTAAAGACAAAAAAATTTACTAGGCGTGGATTAACGCGACGTAATATTTCTTTTTAATAATCGTCTGCAGGAGGGACGAGAGTCGAGACGAAGAATGTGGGACGCCATCTTGAGAATGCGCGCGCAGACGCGTGGTTACTTAAAACAGTAACCAGAATCTAGTTGACTACTTTGATTCTCCTATTACTTGTAAAATATTGGGTTTCTCGATTTAATATTTATTTTTCAGACACAAATTTACCGTGTTTACCATTTAAATTTCAATGTTATAGAAAGGGTTCTGCAATTGAGTATGTTTGAGTTTTTGTAATTTTGCTGTTCGAGCGAGTTCTAGATCGAAGATTTAGAGATCTCTTTGTACAGGGTGTATTTAGTAACTGGGACAAGCCACGAAATCGATAACGATATTCCACTTCCACGAGGATATCTGCGTCCGTTGCAACGTATCCACTGGAAACCTGCTTTCGAAATGTTTTCGGAACGATTAAGTATAGGAGCACGTCTCGAAGGTGACGATCGAGATTACCGGACGGAAAGTATTGCGTAACGAGCGTAGCGACTTGTATCGAAACACGAAATACCGATGCCTTTCTCACGATGCTTGAGAAAATTTAAAAAAAAATGCAGTTGGAACCTCCATTGCTTCAACTTCGATTTGTTAATATAATGAAATCGAAAACAGAGGAAGAGTTCACAATTAGAAAATATCGAGGCGTAAACACTCTAATATTAAGAATGAACGTGAAGAAATTAATGAAAATAGAAATTTCTCTATTTTACAGGAAGAGTCGAAGAAATTATTTACTCGAAGATTCTGACTTCTAATTACTTCGAGAATTGCACACCTGTGAAAATACCAGGTGTGAATCACTAAAATTTACGATAATATCGATTCATCATTATTTATCAGTATTATTACCCATTAACCCTTTACACTCCGAATTTCCAATTTTGTTACCAGCAGCTCCCAGCGCTTTCAAGTGTTTTCTTTTAAATTTACGTTAACTGAAAAATAGGGGAATTTAAACATATTCGATTGAATATTTGATTTATTTACACTTTATTGTTGTACTTTGTAATTTTCAAGTGCAAAGGGTTAACTATACTTGCGCCCAACATTTGCTCTTTCACGATCCATTTCTTCCGCAAAACTACTTACATGATGTGTTCAATAAAGCGTGTGTTTCTAGAGTTATGTGTATATTATCTATAGAGAACGTTTGCAAATCTATTAATTTACGATTCGAAGCGAACGAAGGGATGCGGATTGCTGAGACACGATCGACGCCACGCGTATGGTTGGGTGTTCCGTCGTTTGGCCGCGCGGCGGAAGTGTCGCGAGCCTCGATCCCCGGTTACGAGCAGCCCAAACACCGGAGGTTCGTTGTTTGTTTTCCGCGTGGCGGCCGTCGGCACACAGTGAAACGAGAGCGCGTGGGCGTGCGTTCGAGAACACAGGTGAAACCGTTCCAACGTTTGCACGTTCTCGGAAAATACCACGAGCAATTCAGAGAGGCTCCTCGAGCAAAAGTGGGGACACCTTTTGTCGCTCCACGGATTCCTCGTAACCCCCTACTCCGCACCCATCATTTCTGGCGAAATTAGAAACCGATACGCGATCAGAAACGCCGTCATCGTTGCTCGAATTTTATTTTTATTTTTATTAGCGAAGGAAATTGCTTCTTGGTTGTTTCATCAATTTTTTAACTATGGAAGAAGAGAGCTGAGAGCAGAAACGCCGTCATCGTTGCTCGAATTTTATTTTTATTTTTATTAGCGAAGGAAATTGCTTCTTGGTTGTTTCATCAATTTTTTAACTATGGAAGAAGAGAGCTGAGAGCAGAAACACCGTTATCGTGGCGCGAATTTTATTTTTATTTTTATTCTTTTGGCGAAGGAAATTGCTTCTTGGTTGTATTATCAATTTTTTAACTATGGAAGAAGAGAGCTGGATCGAGAGTTGATGTATTGATTTTTGAGGGAATTCGCTCGTTTTTACTTGGCTATTTCGCCTCGGTTTTTGAGACCGCCAACCATAAACGTTTCGTCACCGGTGATAATGCAGTTTGTGAAGTTTGAGTCGTTTACAGCTCTTTGTTCAAGCTTACAAACTTCTTTATGATTGGGCTGTCGCGTTAGTTGCCGAGCAAACTCGGTACAAATTTGGCTACAACCCGTCTCGTGGCGAGAGTATTAGTTTATATTTACCGACACGTTCCACATAAGATACCAAGAGATATCTCTTTAATAGTGAAACGGGCCGAGTTGCTTAAATTATTCATCGCATCTTCTCGATACCATTCGAACACAACATCTCTATCTCTATCTTCTCAGTAAACATTATCCAGCGTTTCCCTTAATTTTATATCGATTTCTCCATTTTTTTCACAATTTTTCTGTCCACGAAAATTTCGACGACGACGCGGAACGATCCGCTTTTACGCAACAATGGCCAACAACTGGCTGATCGTGACGCAACAGAGGTTTCACCATGCATGCACGTGTGCTCCGACTACCATCTAGTGTCGAAACAATTCGTCTATCTTGCCTGGTATTTGTCTTTTCATCGAAACACTGCATCTCCTCGATCGCCAAGTCTCACGAAAAACTGGAAGACTCGACTCGATTACTTTTAAATTAAGAAAACTGAACTTTTCAACGATGGATCGTTAAGACTAACTCGAACGTTTCTCTTTTGGTCTTGGGAGGCCAGCGGATCTGGTCGTGCACGATACCAAGCGTCGATGCGCTATCGTCGCTATCTGGTGAGCGATTCCTAGACGGTTCGGAGCCAGAAAGTTATCTATCACATCCAAAATTCGCCTCGCCACGATCGTTTCGCTTTTGTGAACACGTATGGCCGCGCGTTTCGCGCGAAAACGCGCTCCTTATGGGGCAAATCGGTCGACGACAGTTGTGCAAACAGAGGAACCTTTGTGACGCGACGCTTAGAACCAGAATCAACACTTAAGGAAACCTTCCCAAATGGAACGGACGTAGATTCGATAGAGCCTCGATTATTGCGTGAATGTCTCGCTGTTTCCTATTTATTCGTAACTGGAAAGCACGGAGCTGGAGATAGAACCGATAGGAACGATCATAGATATTCCAACTGTGTTCACTGTCCATGGTTCATATATGGGTCACAACACCACGCTATTGGATACGTCACTCAGAGACCGGACAGTGAACACGTTGACTTAGAAAAATTTTTTTTTTTGGGAGGGGGGGATTACTCAATTCAATAAACGGACAACAATTGCTACCAACAAAGAGTAAAAAAAATTGTCCAGAAACTCACGTTGTGGAGCTTGAAGTAGAGACCGCAGGCGTTGCACACAGGCTCGCCATTGTTGTTTCGCCGCCAGAGGGTGGTGTTACTGGTCCTGCAATTGGCACATTGCACCCCCGTCCTCCTCACCCCCGTCTGAAACAAGAGAAAAACCCCCGTAAACATCGAGTTCCAAGCATCGACAAATCACGATAAAAATACAAGGACTTGAATTTTTACAACAATTTATGGTCGTAGAATATTACCGGAACGACTGGTTGCTTGGGCTTGCCGCATCTCATGGTCTGTCGGTTCATCCCGTTCGCCTTGTAGAGGCAATTATGGCAATAATAGTGGCCAGTTTCGTCCCGCCTCCAGATCGTGGTGAGAGCCGAGCAGCCAGCGCAGTCTTTCGGCTCGGTGGTGATCATCGTGGAGTCGAAACCGTCCTCCGCGCTCGGTAGAGGCAGTCCTGCCCAAGGTGAGGGCACCCCGGTGCTGCCGGCTGACACGCTGTACCCACCGCCGGAATATAGTTGCATGTTTGCACCGTCGCTGACGGAGATCGCTGTCACGCCTTGGTAGCCCTGGACGCACTCGAACGACGGAGGCGACGGCGTTCCGGCCGTGGACCAGTACTCGCTGGAAGCCGTGGGCTTCGCGTAGGAGTAGGAGCCTGTTCCACTCCCGTACAAGGTCATCTGAGAGCTGGGGGAGCCGGGTTGCTCGTAGTGGATCGGTACACCTCGAGAAGTGCCCAGGGAGGAGGCTAGGGTTGGGTCACCGCCCTTGATGTAAGCGTTTCCTGGAGGATCCACCTGTGTGGAGGTCGAGAGGATGATGGAATTAGTCTGTTTTGTTGGATGAGACGCCATCAACTAGCAAAAAAGAGTACGACACTCACCCCACCAACCCTGGACGTCAACGGACTCGGGTACGTGAGAATGAGGTGGTCCCCCGGTTTGGCGTAGGTGTACGTGGACGCTTGTTGGAACGTCTCGCTCCCGGATATGTACTGCGCCGCGTATTGCACCGTCTGTTGGGGCGGTATCGCGACAGTTTCGAGGGTGGTGTACGTGCTGGACACTTTGATGTTGTCAGACGCTGCGGCCGTGGCAGCCGCGAAGCGTCCAGCGACTGCAGCCGCGACAGCGTTTGCGGCGTTCGCTGCGTTCACGGCGTCGGTCTCGTACTTGATGTCCGCACTACCCGCGTCCGTGTACCCGGCGCCGGTCACGCGAATACCGTCCGTGATCGGCGGGGAGTACGACGGAACCGAGGAACCCAGCTGAACGTTCGACGCTGTCGTGGCGGAGTTCGCCCTGGACACCAAGGAGCCAGTGTCGTAATCCTCGGTGCTCGGCACCAGGACCGGGGAATCCTGGTGATAGGTTCTGGTCGATCCGTTGCCGCTGTTCGAGGTCTCGCGGGGACTGTACCTCTGTTGGCCGCTGCCCACCGACGGAGCACGCCTCTCTTGAGCCTGGATCACCTGGTTCTCCCTTCGCAATTGCTGACCGTCCGTCGTGTAACTGTACATGGTCTCCGTGTCGGGTCTCTCCGGACCGGCGGGCTCGTACCTTGAGTCAAAATCGTGGGATCAATAGGGAGTACTCCATGATACGGCTTATTGCGATGCTCGGAATTCGAGCTGGGTGCCTGGAGGTTCTATTTAGTCACTGTTTCGGTAACTTTTAATTGTCTTTCAACTATCTCGAGCTAGAATAAACGAATCTAAGAAGCCAATAATGGAAAAAAATCCCAGATTCAAAGAGGTAACAGTCTGCACCCGACGACGATAGATCAAGTTACCTGGTCTGTTCCTTGACGGTGAGGGTGCTGTTGGGATCAACGGTGTCCGTGACCTCGACCTGCACTTCCTGGCCATTGGTCGTCAGATAAACCACCCGTTGCTCCCCGGAACGATGTTGCTGAATGTCCCCATCCGCCTGCGAGATCTGCACGAAGTGTTGCGTAGCCTGTAGACTGCCCTGGTCTTGCTGTTCCTCTTCTTGGTACACGCGTTGTCTGGGCTGCCTGTGCTGGTGCTGTTGCTCCACAGACGGATGTTGAATATGGTGATGATGATGGTGGTGCTGCTGGGGATGTTGGTGATGGTGTTGGGTCTGTTGCTGAGGCTCCAGTTGAAGATTCCCCGATATGACACTGGCGTCTGGCGAGTCTGGGTCCGCCTCCGAGACCGTCTCCGTGATCTGGCCGGTGGTCGTGATCGTTCGAACGTGTCTTCTGGCTGTGATCACCGTTCGCGGGCTCTCCGATGGCTCCTCCGTCGCTGTCATCCGCGGCGACGCTTCCTCCGGCTGAACGTGCTCCCAATCCCGTTTGATCTCACGCTTCGCCAGCGACTCCTTCATCTCGCGTCCTGAAACAGGATCCGGCCAGGTTGGATCGAGTCGTTTCTCAGCCGAGACTTTCGTTTTCGAGAGACGACAGACGACTGGAGGACGAGGTGCGCGCGCGATCGAGATCGAGATACGTCGAAACGAGAACAGACCGAGTCGTGGACGGAAGGAAAAAGGAGAAAAGGCAGGAAGAAGCGTGGCTGAGGGGGGCAAAGGGAGCAAAGGCACACCTCGTCCGTCGCGAGACGAGACGTGTTTGCCCTGGAGCGCGTCACACTTCCCTTCGACAATGTCAAGTCTCGACTTCCGGGCCCGAGCACGCGACTCTTTCTTTGTCGGACCGGGGACAGTCTTCGCGAGTCACCTGGGACACATCGTCCTTCGATCGGACGCGTTTCGGTGCGCTTTGTGTCACGAAGATAGGGATTTATACGAGCTCGAGGCGCTCCAGTGGTCTACATAGACGCCATCTTGGTTGCACGATCGCGGTAACGCGGGAAGTTCGATTAAAATACTTCGATCGGGTTGCAGGAGCGTGAGTTTCGACTGATTTAGATTTGCTAGGCCTCCTATGTTTGCGTTATGGGAAATTTAGATTGTCGAAAAACTATAGAATGCATTTACTATGCAAAAATATAACAAAAACTCAAGTAAGATGAGAATTATTTTAGGGGTTGAAAGAACCCTCTACGAAGCTCTTATTTTATTAATTTTATTAATAAATATATGAATTTGCATAAAAATCCGCAGTCTATTTATTACATCTAGAGTGAGTTGTATCTTATGGAAATTTATTTGAAAATATAGTCAACTTTTGGATGGATTTTCTGTGGATTGGTCAGCACTTACTGTATTCAATTTTTTTATTTATTTTTAGTCTGTTTGTTAATGTTGTATAAATTCACTACTCCTATATTGTAATCAAGTCTTTTATATCTATTTTTATTTTTATTTTATTTATAGGAAATTGTCTATTTTATCAAATTTATCAGAATCAATTCATTTATATTTATTTCCATTCCATAGTATGCGTTCTATTAAATTTTGTGAAATTTCATTCTGATTTATAATAATTTTTTATGAAATTCAATTTCTTAATAAATATTCTGTAAATTGATTACTCCTATTGAAATTTATTTAGATTTATATATTAATAATTTGTTGTAAAATTCAATTTCTTAATAAATGTTCTGTAAATTGATTACTCCTATTGTTAATTATACTCGAATTTATTTAGATTTATATATTAATAATTTTTTCTAAAATTCAATTTTTTAATAAATGTTCTGTAAATTGATTACTCCTATTGTCAGTAATACTCGAATTTATTTAGATTTATATATTAATAATTTTTTGTAAAATTCAATTTCTTAATAAATATTCTGTAAATTGATTACTCCTATTGAAATTTATTTAGATTTATATATTAATAATTTTTTGTAAAATTCAATTTCTTGATAAATATTCTGTAAATTGATTGCTCCTATCAAAATTTATTTAGATTTATATATTAATAATTTGTTTGTAAATTCAATTTCCTAATAAATATTCTGTAAACTGATTACTCCTATCAAAATTTATTTAGATTTATTTTCATTCTAAAATGATAGTTCCATATGGTATATTTTGTTAGGTGAAAATTGCATCGCCATTATTTGAGCGACGGCAAATGACTTCGATGCGTCCATTTTATCCAAATGAATCGAATTTTGCCATTCAAAAATCCCATAATTGTCCACTAATGTGTATAATAAATTGGTATGATTTTTGTAAACCAAAGAAGAGCTTTCAGACGTGGTATGCTTAATCGCAAAATAAAGTAAGATGGACACTAGTTGAAAGTTATTAAGAAAATCCTGTCTCAAAAAGCATTTTGGCTGGTATCAAGCGTGATAAATATTTCAGAATATTATTACGAGACAATGAAACGATGATTGTTGTTGTGCAATAGTGAGTGACACGTTAATTTCTATTTTGGTGGCCTGTGAAATTGTTCCACCGTTCCTCTTACGACTTCTAAATTGGTGAGTAATTGTACTTTTTTTTGTAGCATGTAGAAATAGAATAGAAACATCGATATTGTTCTCTAATCCTTTTTTAAAAGTTCTAATAAGCGATTCCCTTTACCTGGACCAGAAGTTATCAAAAGAAACTTCTTCTTTGAATTAAAATGCACACTTTATCTTAGTTATTTTTCATTTTATGGATGTTCTTACAGAGATTTGCAATTTTGTTCTCTAATCGTTTTCTAAAAGTTCTAATAAGCGATTCCCTTTACCTGGACCAGAAGTTATCAAAAGAAACTTCTTCTTTGAATTAAAATGCACACTTTATCTTAGTTATTTTTCATTTTATGGATGTTCTTACAGAGATTTGCAATTTTGTTCTCTAATCGTTTTCTAAAAGTTCTAATAAGCGATTCCCTTTACCTGGACCAGAAGTTATCAAAAGAAACTTCTTCTTTGAATCAAAATGCACACTTTTTCTTAGTTATTTTTCAATTTATGGATGTTCTTACAGAGTTTTGCAATTTTGTTCTCTAATCGTTTTCTAAAAGTTCTAATAAGCGATTCCCTTTACCTGGATCAGAAGTTATCAAAAGAAACTTCTTCTTTGAATTAGAATGCATACTTTGCCTTATTTATTCCTCATTTTATGGGTCCTCGTACAGAGTTTTGCAATTTGTTTTGTATTAATTGAATATTCTTGAATATTCCCTGCATTTAGAAATCATACTTGCATTTAGATGGACCATTTTTATTAAAATTTAGGTAACGAATTTGGGAGAAGAAGAGGCCTCCTGGAACTTGGAGCACTCTTCTCCTAAAACTATCATTTCCCTCCATTGCAATTTTTTATGTAGATTTTAACAAAGCTAGTTTCTCGATAACTAATCAAAGGACTGATTCACGTTGCAAAATTAGAAAAAATTATCTCGAATAACAAGAAAGTGAATAGTTCAAAGTTGGAGCATTTCTGAAACTCTGATCTTCGACATCCAAGAACTATAGTTTCCCATATCAATTTCAACAAAGCTAGTCTCTCGATAACTAATAGAAGGACTGATTCACGTTGCAAAATTAGAATTTTATCTCAAATGACAAGAAAGTGAATGATTCAAAGTTGGAGCACCTCTGATACTCTGATCTTCGTCACCATTTTCTAAATTCGAAAATAATCAAGCACTATAATTTTTCATATCAATTCCAACAAAGCTAGTCTCTCGATAACTAATTAGAGGACTGATTCAGATTGAAAAATTAATTTTATCTAAAATAATGAAGTTTCGGGAGTAGTTGAGATTTGGAACACTCAGAATTGGATTCTGAAATTCTGATTTTCATCACCATTTTCTAAATTCGGTATTTTCTCAAATACTATAATTTCCCACACAAATTCCAACGAAGCTAGTCTCTCGATAACTAACAAAAGGACTAAATGACGTTGCAAAATTAAAATTTTATCTTGAATAACAAGGAAGTGAATAATTCAAAGTTAGAGCACACCTCAAATTCTGATCTGGGTCACCATTTTCTAAATTCGAAAATAATCAAGCACTATAATTTCCCATATCAATTCCAACAAAGCTAGCTTCTTGATAACTAACGAGAGGCCTGATTGAGATTGCAAAATTAATTTTATCTAAAATAATGAAGTTTTGGGAGCAGTTGAGATTTGGAGCACTTCTGAAACTCTGATCTTCGTCAGCCATTTTCTAAATTCGAAAATAATCAAGCACTATAATTTCCCATATCAATTCCAACAAAGCTAGTCTCTCGATAACTAATTAAAGGACTGATTCACGTTGCAAAATTAGAAAAAATTATCTCGAATAACAAGAAAGTGAATAGTTCAAAGTTGGAGCATTTCTGAAACTCTGATCTTCGACATCCAAGAACTATAGTTTCCCATATCAATTTCAACAAAGCTAGTCTCTCGATAACTAATAGAAGGACTGATTCACGTTGCAAAATTAGAATTTTATCTCAAATGACAAGAAAGTGAATGATTCAAAGTTGGAGCACCTCTGATACTCTGATCTTCGTCACCATTTTCTAAATTCGAAAATACTCAAGCACTATAATTTTTCATATCAATTCCAACAAAGCTAGTCTCTCGATAACTAATTAGAGGACTGATTCAGATTGAAAAATTAATTTTATTTAAAATAATGAAGTTTCGGGAGTAGTTGAGATTTGGAACACTCAGAATTGGATTCTGAAATTCTGATTTTCATCACCATTTTCTAAATTCGGTATTTTCTCAAATACTATAATTTCCCACACAAATTCCAACGAAGCTAGTCTCTCGATAACTAACAAAAGGACTAAATGACGTTGCAAAATTAAAATTTTATCTTGAATAACAAGGAAGTGAATAATTCAAAGTTAGAGCACACCTCAAATTCTGATCTGGGTCACCATTTTCTAAATTCGAAAATAATCAAGCACTATAATTTCCCATATCAATTCCAACAAAGCTAGCTTCTTGATAACTAACGAGAGGCCTGATTGAGATTGCAAAATTAATTTTATCTAAAATAATGAAGTTTTGGGAGCAGTTGAGATTTGGAGCACTTCTGAAACTCTGATCTTCGTCACCATTTTCTAAATTCGAAAATAATCAAGCACTATAATTTCCCATATCAATTCCAACAAAGCTAGTCTCTCGATAACTAATTAAAGGACTGATTCACGTTGCAAAATTAGAAAAAATTATCTCGAATAACAAGAAAGTGAATAGTTCAAAGTTGGAGCATTTCTGAAACTCTGATCTTCGACATCCAAGAACTATAGTTTCCCATATCAATTTCAACAAAGCTAGTCTCTCGATAACTAATAGAAGGACTGATTCACGTTGCAAAATTAGAATTTTATCTCAAATGACAAGAAAGTGAATGATTCAAAGTTGGAGCACCTCTGATACTCTGATCTTCGTCACCATTTTCTAAATTCGAAATTACTCAAGCACTATAATTTTTCATATCAATTCCAACAAAGCTAGTCTCTCGA